TAAAATAATATATAAACAAAATAATAATAATAATATAAAATAATACCAAAAATAAATATACATTTTCATTGTTTTTAAAATAATTTAAAATTTATTGATCATTTTTATATAAAAAAAAAAAATTTAACATGTAGAGAATAAAAATACAATCTAAACGAGGTATTACACGTCAAAAACGGAGCGAAAATGAATTTTCTGTGATTTTTTTAAAATATCAGGTTTAAAATACCATTAAAACTAATTAAAACATTAATTTAAATTAATTAATTGGCGGCGGGACGCGTGCAGACGCGGATAGGGCCATGAAACCGTGCCAATGATTGCGGGACAGTGACCTGGCGACGGTCTCCCACTCATCCACGTCAGCATCCATCTCGGCTGTTGATCACACGCGGCGCGAGATCAAGGGCTGAGATCCAACCAGACCGGAGGCGCGACCGTGGGATCTGACTGCGCGATGGATCTGAACCGCGGGATGGCTCTCCCGTGACCATTGATCAACAGATCAACGGCTGAGATCGCCTCTCAGCCTCCAGAGATGAAACCGAAGCCCTATAACTCTATCTTTGAAATTTCTCTCAAATTACTTGACCAAATTTGACGAAATTTTAAACATAGGTTCTATGAATGAACAGAAACCTTGGGGAAGTGTTTGTTTGGTGAATAATTAACTTTTTGAAAAGCTATTTAAAGCGACGTGTTTGAACTATTTTAAGGGATTTTACCGTCCGATCTTCAGATCTTTGACACGGTTGAGCTTGTAGACTGTCATTGTATGTTTCTCCTCTTGAAACCATGATCAAACGAGCCACGGATTGGTCAGATCGAAGCCTTGAGCGTCCAAGCCTTCGGGTCGACGAAATCTCGCCGCCGGCGAGGTATCACCATCGGGTTTTGATTGGGGAAGATGGTAGAGGACTCCAGGAACTCTCACACGAAGTCTCAGATCGTTTGGAGACTTGGTGCAAGAGAATTTTGGAAAAAGATCCCTAAAACACCCTAATTTCTTCTATTTAAACTCCTAAACCTAAGGGGAACGGTTAGGATTCAATCAATGGTTGGTTTGGATGGAATTTAGAGGGAATTAGTCGTGGGTTTGAATTTCAAAACAATTGGAGGCTTTAATTCCATTAAATGGGGCTTTAATGGGATCTAAATAGGTTATTTTAACCTATTAAAGACTTGGTTTGACCAAGTCAATGATTGACTTGGTCAAATCAGTCAAGAGAGTCAAATGAGTCAATGGGCTGAGCCTTGAAGACATGGTATTTATTTGAAATCAATTGAAAAGCATTTGGGTCAATTTGGGTCAACTCTGGTTGACCTGGTCAACCAAGTCGACCCAGGACCTGGGTCTTGGCTCAACAGACTCAGTTCAACTCATTGAACCTATTGGAGAGGGTCATAGGGTCTGACTTGGTCAATTTGACTAAGTCAACCTCCTCGACCAGGAGTCTGGGCAAAATCGAGGTCAACAGTGGCCTCTTCTTTGCAGCTCTTCTTGCTAAGATCAAGAAATCTATCAGAAGAAAAAGTAAAAAATGATGATGCGATCTTGCTATTGTTGCTGAAAATCAAAACCTGCAGTTCCTAATAGGGAATTTTATCACTTGGAGCCAAACAGTCATTAGGATCTATATTAGATTAAAACTAATCATGTCATGGCATCTGTGTATCCACAACTCAGCTGGTCAAAGTACTAAAAGAAGAACTATTGCTGATGGAGTTAGAGCTTATGGTTTTTAAGAATAAACAACCTGTTGAGCGACATAAAACTCTCAAAGGCACCCTGGTTCATGTAAGAGTGTAGGCTTATGCTCAGAGAGCTGATGAATGGTCTCAATTTGCGGAACAAACTACTCTACTCCCATGGAGCATCTCCAACCGAACACCAAACATGAGTATAACGTCATAAAAACTTCAATCAGCAACTAGAAAGCTATTTTAAGAAGCAATAAAAAAGCTATCCCAAATGAAACCTTAATCTAATTCATTTCCTCTATTATTTCCTTTGAACCTACTGACAGTCGAGTAAAAACTTCAACCAGCTACCAAGCTTCAAAGGATGACATTGCTGTGCATGCTGATTTTAGGTTACTTGCGAACTCAAGTACTTCCTATCAGTATCATCTTTAGTTGGCTATAAGATGGTATATTTTTTGAAAGGATCTGTTATTTGCATGTTGCTTCAGCTGCTGACAGCATTATAGTTTTCTGATTGTATTTGGCTATTCAAGTTTTCCACAATTCTAGAAATCTTCTATTCGCACATGCTGCAATTTTTTCTGATTGGAACTTGAGATTTAGGCCCCAGTTGATGAGGACGACGATGATGATGTTGATCTATTTGGCGAGGAGACAGAAGAGGAAAAGAAGGCTGCCGAGGAGCGTGCAGCTGCTGTGAAAGCATCCATAAAGAAGAAAGAGAGTAAGGCTTTTAACTTGTTATGACATATCATGCTTTTACACATTTTTATTATTTTGTGCTCATTATTATTTTACCTACAACATATTTTCAACAGGTGGAAATCTTCAGTTTTATTGGACATTAAGCCCTGGGATGATGAGACAAACATGCAGAAGCTTGAAGCAGCTGTAAGGAGTGTTAAAATGGATGGATTGCTATGGGGAGCCTGTATGTGACCCGTTGTCCTTGAATTTTTTTTATGTGTTATCTTGGTTGATTGTGTGGAAAGTTACTCATTGAATGGAAATGAATGGGCTATTATGTAGTAGGATATAGGCTGGATTTGAGCGAAATCTAGCCAAACGACCTAAAATGTAAAACGAAATCTCACAGCAAATGAAAGCCGCTATAGATGGAAAATTCCGCCTTTTCGTGCTAAGTCCCAAATTTTTGAAATCCTATTTTTTGCCAGATTTAAGAAATCAATTGGTTATAGAGGAAGAGTCCACTCTTTAAATCTGCTCTATAGTCACATGGGATTTAGTAGGATTTATCTTGACTGTTACTCAACAGTTTTCTGGATTTAGGCCCCTCAAGATTTTTGAAATTCGGATTTAGAGGATTTATGAAATCTTACTTAAATCAAATCCAGGGTGCTACCAAATTGCCCCTAAATGATGAACTTGTTTGGTACTCTTTTGCAGAAAAATTTTTATGCTGAGATGCTTTTTACTTATTAAATAGGTATTTTTTATTATGTTGCAGCAAAGCTTATTCCGGTTGGATACGGAATCAAGAAATTGCAGATCATGTTGACCATTGTGGATGACTTGGTATTTGTAGACAACCTCATCGAGGATCACCTGACTGCTGAACCAGCAAACGAGTACATCCAGAGTTGCGATATCGTCGCAGTTAATAAAATATGTAAGTTTATTCACTCAAATAAACTATCCTATTGGTCACATAATTTTCAAATAATCCCTCTATTCATTTCTCACTAATTTTCTTCAATTGTATTATTCATTGCAGAGAAAATTGCAAGACTTTGAAATAAGAGCTGCAGAGTCAAAGGATTGGTGTGCCAGTATTGCTTCTTGTTCTTGTATATTTGCTTCTGTATCTCATTCTTCAACACTTGTGTTTTTTGTCAGCTGGAATATTTGTACTCATGTACATAGACATTTTGATCCTCAATCAAGAATGTTATGTTGAACGAGTTGCTATAATTTGATGTGATATGTATTGGCATCAATAGCTGGCTATGAATTTTGTTATTTAGGTTTCGTTTGGGATGGCTTTTTTACTGCTTCTTAAAATAGTTTTTAGTACAACAAATAATTTTTTTGTACTAAAATTTTGTTTTAAGAAGCAATAAAAAAGTCGTCGCAAACGAATTCTTAGGTTTCGTTTGGAACAGCTTTCTTATTGCTTTCTAATCTAATTTTTAAATACAATTTTTTAAATAAAAAATTTCGGCGAGAAATTTTTTTTAAAAAGCAATAAGAAATGTTCTTTGAATCTAATGAATTTGTTGTGGTATTGTGATTTCAGTGGAAGGAGACTAGCTTTGAGTGAGAATGTTTGATTAGGATTTAGATTTTATTTTATTTTTGGTGGTACGGTGGACTTTTTTTATTTTATTAGTTGCTTTTTATGTTTTTATTATTTATTTTTTATTAAAATATAAGAATAGTTGATCATCTTTATTCTCCAACTCTTATTCATCTTCTTGTTGTTTTGACTTTAATATGATAGTTAATTTTATTAAAATATTATTATTAGAATTTTATCATAATAAATTTAAATTATTTTTTTTATGATAAATGCAATGTAATTTGAAATGCTTGTGTTTTTTTGTTATGAATATTATAAGAAATCAACTACTAAATAGAATTAGTGATCAATTAATTGACAATAGTTTAGCGAAGAAATATTTGATTATATTTGTTGTGTCCTGGAGTATTCGCGGTAATAGATAATTATATAGCTTAACGTCTTAGCATTATATGAAGATCCAATACACATGCAGATAAGAGAGAGTGTGTATCATTCATAAGAGTCACCAGAGTTTTACGTGGAAACCCTTGAAAAAAGGGAAAAACCATGGTTCATAACCCAGTTCGAATGAATGCACTGGTATTTCCAGTCGATTATAAATAAGGCCCTTCTTAGGGAGAAGGCCTTGGTTTTATGTTACAAATGTACGTCATATAGAGCGCATCACATAGACATGTTTGTTAGGTTGGAAGGGCCATTAGAGGTGATGGAGGTCGTAAGGACCGTAGTTGGCAAGAGATAGAGATCGAAAAGACCGTTGTCTGGCGATGTAGGTCGGAAGGACCGTAGTAGGTGATGGAGGTCAGAAGGATCGTAGTCGGTAGGAGATAGGGGTCCGAAAGACCGTAGTTGGCAGGAAACTAGGGTAATCAGAAAGATCATTGTTTGTTAATGTAGGTTGAAAGGACCATAATAGGCGACGGAGGTCGGAAGGACCGTAGTCGGCAGGAGATTGGGTTCAAAAAACCATTGTCTAGTGATGGAGGTCGGAACGACCATAATAGGCGATAAAGGTCGGAAGGACTGTAGTCGGCAGGAGACTGTGGTCTGAAAGACCGTTGTAGTAAGCGGTACTCTGGTAGAACTCTGGGTGTCAAGTGGTAGCCCACCAGAAGTCCGGGCATCAGGTGGTGTTCTGGTAGAGCACAGGGCCTCAAGTGGCGGTTAGGCGGAAGTCCGAGCCTTAGGTGGTGGCCTGGTGAAGTACAAGGCCTCTAGAAGTGGTCTGGAGGAAGTCCGGACCTCAAGTGGTGGTCCGGAGGAGGTGAGGGCCTCAAGTGGTGGTTCGGCGGAGCAACGACGTAAGGTGGTGGTCCAGCAAAGGTGAGGGCCTCAAGTGGTGGTCCGGCAGAGCAACGACGTTAGACGGTGGTCTGGCGGAAATGAGGGCCTCAAGTGATGGTCCGACGAAGGTGATGGCCTTAAATAGTGATTCGGCAGAGCAACGACATTAGGCGGTGGTCTGGCGGAGGTGAGGGCCTCAAGGGGTGGTCCGGCGGAGCAATGGCGTCAGACGGTGGTCCGACGAAGGTGAGGGCCTAAAGTGGTGGTCCGGAGAATACGAGGGCCTCAAGTGGTGGTTCGGCGGAGCAACGACGTCAGGCTGTAGTCAGGCAAAGGTGAGGGCCTCAAGTGGTGGTCCGGCAGAGCAACAGCGTCAGGCGGTGGTCCGGTGGAGGTGAGGGCCTCAAGTGGTGATCTGGCAAAGGCGAGGGCCTCAGGTAGTGGTCCGACGGAGTAACAGCCTCAGGCGGTGGTCCGGCGGAGGTGAGGGGCCTCAAGTGGTGGTCTGGTGGAGTAACGGCATCAGGCGGTGGTCCGGCGGAGGTGAGGGCCTCAAGTGGTGGTCCAGCGAAGCCGAGGGCCTCAGGTGGTGGTCTGACGAAGGTCCGTTGGTGGTCCAGCGAAACTCCGACGGTGGTTGAGGAGGAGCTGCTTCCTTCTCTTCTCTTCTTCTCTTTTTGCTTCCCTCCCCTCTTAAGAGAAATGAGGGGTTTATTTATAGATTTTTGGAGTGGCATGACCCGTAAATATTGAATCCCTTGATCATGTATTGTTCATCAGCCATTTGTAGGCCTTAATGATGTCAAAATTTGGAAATCCTGGGCTCGTTTGATTTTTCTCGTCGAGCCGCTCGATTCGTCTATAAGCACGTAAAGTTTGGAAACTATTTGGTGACCCAAATTGTGGTTTGAACCTTCCAATAATGCTTCAGGTCCTTGATCTGGATCCATTTGGACTCGAATTGAGTTGATTTTGGTGTCGTTGGGTTTGTATTTCCAAGACGTTCAGTTCGACTATAATTTTGCTGAAATCAGAGTTCGAATGATCTCCTTCAGAATATAAAGAGTTTGTATCATAAATTATAAATCTTAAAATTTTCTTTTTAAAATAATAAGTTTAAATAAAAAAGTTTTTAAAATAGTCAATATTGATCTTAAGCACAAATAAAAAAGTTGAATGAATATTTTAAAAGTAGGCTTTTAGCTTCTCTTCCCCATCCCTGAGAACATTAGGTATTGGTTCATATAAATTAGGCTAAATTGTAGTTAAGAAACTTTTATTTTTGCTATAAAAATGGTGCTGATGTAACAATTATAACTATACAATGGAGGAGCTTGCTATGTACTACCTCAAAAATAGGAGAAATCTTATAAATCAATGCATATTATATATTGATCATTTTCATCAATAGACTTTTGCCAATTTTAATCAATTATAGTTAATTAACTTAATATTGTAAATCTAATAAGATATATAAAATTTATTAAGTTAAATTAAATTCTAAATAATGTTTATTTATTAATTATCAACATTGTTTAAAATTAGAATTATAATTGCATTTAATATTTATCTACTTAAAAAATTAGTATTCATGTTATTTTTATTCAATTAGAATTTCATCTATTTATACATGTAATTATTTAATTAATTTTCACTGATTAAAATTTTTTTATGAATTTTGATATTTAAATAATAATTAAACTAACCTCACCGTGCTCACCTGATAACCGTCTCATCTCCATTCCCGGTCTTCACCTTCGCGTAATCCTCGACGCAAAAGAAGCGCGGATTTTGCCACGAGAGCTTCTACGGGATCCAGTGGAGTGTCTGAAATCCTCTTCTCTTTTAATCCTCTCTCAAACCAGAAATCCTCAAAGAATTGAAGGCAGGAATTCGCGAAGGGAGCTGGCTGGCGAAGGTTTCGACGGAATCTAGCATTTGTTCGTTTGAATCTCTTAAATCCGAAGAACTGCAGGACTTAGTAAATCTAGAGCTTGGGGCAATCGGAGGTAAAGCGGGATTGATAATACCGTAGAATTTTTTTATTATTAGGAGTAAGATTTACCTAAGTACTCTACCAATTACACAACAGATTCTTAGATGAAGAATTGGGCGGGAGGGAAAGAGAAGTTTTTGTTTTGGTGAATCTTATAATGATAATATTTCCTGCAGGGAAGTTTTGTATTTGTATTCGATATTCGATCTGCTCTAATTCATTTATTCTCATGGTCTTGGTGAAGATTTGGGCAATCTCATATGGCTTCGGATATGGATACAACTGAGCAGAAGTTAACGACCAGTGATGCCTTGGCGTATTTAAAGTGCGTTAAAGATTTGTTTAAGGATAATAAGGAGAAGTACAATGAATTTCTCGAAGTTATGAGGGATTTCAAGAGCCAGAGGTTTTGAGTTTGTCTTGTTTTTTAGTCGATAAATATGTTTGTGGTTGTTTTTCAATTCATATCGATGTTTTTTGGTTGGGTTTCTCAGATTTATGTTGGTTGCAGGACTAATACAAATGGAGTGATTATGAGGGTGCAAGAACTCTTTAAGGGGCATAGCGATTTGATCCTTGGTTTCAGCAAATTTTTGCCTAATGGCTACGAGATTAAGGTTCCAGTGGAAAAGAAGCCTGTTGAATTCCATGAAGCTTTCACCTTCGTGAGCAAAATTAAGGTGCTAATCTATATATAGGCTAAGTTGTTTACTGATTCAGATTATTTACCTCAATGTGCTTTTATTGGGTTCAATCTAATCACTCGCCTTCTTGCAGAGCCGATTTGAAAATGATCAACTTACTTACAGGTCATTCTTAGATACTCTTGAAATGTATAGGAATCATACTAAATCAAGCAGTGAGGTTCGCCGGGAGGTATGTAGTGATCATTTGTTTTTGTTTTTTTTAGCCATATAGCACTCATGGTTTGACGTATTTCTGATCTCAGTTGTTTTATTCTATAGGTGGCATTGCTTTTTAAAAATCATGAAGATTTATTTATGGAATTTTTACATTTTTTGCCTGATACAACTACATCAACTGCTCAACTTGTATCACCTGCTAGACGTTTTGCTAGGCGTGATAAGTTCAGAACTATGAAGCCTCCTTGCATGCAAAAGGTATTTCCTGAAAAAACTTTGGTGTTAATCATCCCAACCTAAATTGGTTCCATTAAATGAAATTTTTGCTGACATTTCTCTCCATCTTTTAGATTCAGGATAGAGATATGGATAGGGAACATGAAAAAAGGGATGCAAATATGACCGTTGAAAGTGTTAAATATAGAGAAGACAAGCAAATCAATCAAGGTTCTTCAGATTTCTCAAAAGACGTGGCTAATCACAAAGTTTCTTTATCCCCCAGTATAATGGATTACAAAGACTTGGATCTCTCGAACTGCCCAAGTTGTACTCCTAGTTATCGGCTATTGCCAGAAAATGTTAGTATTATATATCAATTTATTCTATTCTCTTTTAGTTATAACAATCTCTATGAATTATTTTAACTTGGTTTTATTTAAATTGTTGTTGACTGGCAGTGCCGTGCACCTGTCTCTAGCGACAGAACTGAACTTGACAAATCCGTTCTAAATGATGTTTGGGTTTCAGTGACATCTAGAACTGAAGATTATTCTTCTAATCCATCGAGGAAAAGTCAATATGAGGAAAGCTTATTTAAATGTGAAGATGATAGGTGACAAATTTTATTCCCTTAATATTTTTTAAGTATTTATTTATTTATTTTTTAATTCTTGTTTTGTTGGTGCCACATTTTGTTTAAGGAAATTGCTTTTGCCATTTCATAATATTTGAAATAAATGTTCAGATATGAGCTGGATATGCTAGTAGAGTCGGCAAATACAACTGTTGAGAAAGTTCAGAATTTGGTAAAAAAGATGCAGGATGATAATGATATCAACAAATTAGAATCACCGTTTCGCATTGAGGATCACTTAACCTGTTTGTGTTCATCACAATCATTTTACATGTGTGCTTAATTATATTTTCATCTTAATTATTTTCCTTATGAGAAATCTTTTCTTTTTGAAAGCTCGAAATTTGAACTGCATTGAACGGCTATATGGTGATAATGGCTTTGACGCAGTGGATGCTTTGAAAAAAAATGCTAGTGTTGCTTTGCCCCGCATATTGGATCGCCTGAAACAGAAACAAGAGGAATGGACTACTTACCGTGCTAACTTTAATAAGGTCTGGTCTGAAATTTATGCAGATTACTATTACAAATGACTCGGTTTTAATTTTACTCAATAAGATTTGATGAGCTAGAGTCCTTAAGGTATCTAGCTGTAATTTTTTGGCCATGTAGGAAGAATTTTCTTGTTTAGATCTAATATTGTTTTTCTGAGTTATTAGTGGTGGCCTCTTCTTTGCAGCACTTCTTGCTGAGATCAAAGAAATCTATAAGAAGAAAATGTAAAAAATGATGATGCGATGTTGCTATTGCTTCTGAAACCCAAAAACCTGCAGTTCCTAATAGGGAATTTGATCCCTTGGAGATCCACAAATCAGCTGGTCAAAGTACTAAAAGCAGAACTATTGCAGTGGTGCGCCGCAGCAAGTGCCAGACCCTCTCAGACGACTAGGCACCATTCTTGGCATGTACTTGTTCTGTTCCCTACTTTCCTTGAGAGTCAGATTCCTCTCTCTCTCTCTCTTTTTCTTTTTTCTTTTTTTGGAGGGTAATTAGAGGGCAAAAAGCCCATATTTCATTAAAACAGTTTAACAGAAGAAGGAGAAATGACTGAAAGTGAAGCACGGCTCGGCATATTGCTTGAAAAAATTGTTAACTGGGATTCCGATCAATCCATGATATGGGACCGAGACCATGATGAAACTTCTGAGTTTTTTCAAGTTGTCAGTGAAGTTCAGCAACTTGTTGACAAGTTAACAACCTCACCTGTGTATAATAAGCTTTTATGCTATGCTGATAGCACTCTTCAGATGGCCATGGATAGGCTTGAGGAGTTTGTGCACCTTCTGAGACAGTATAGGCAGCCTTTGGTGCCAGATCACATGTCATTTCGGTCCATGGAAGAGGAATTGTCAGAGGACTTCTCAACTAGTTCATTTGAAGAAGAAGCAATTCAGGGTAAAAGCCACCATGAAAGCAGCCGAAGATCAGAGGATTTTCTAGTCGATCTGATCCATCCTGATGTTTTATGTAACCTCAGATGCATAGCTGAAACGATGTTTTCGGCCAAGTTTGACAGGGAGTGCTGCCAAGCCTACATTAGTGTCAGAAAGGATGCACTTGATGAGTGTCTTTCTGTTCTTCGCATTGAAGAAGTCCTGCAGCTGGAATGGTCATCACTGAATTCCATGATCAAGAGGTGGAATCGAGCTCTGAAAGTTTTTATACGCGTTTATCTTTCGAGCGAGAGTCGTCCATGTGACCTCATATTTGGAGAACTTTCAGTGTCACTAAGACAGTCCTTCTTTGTTGAGATCTCAAAGAGCTCTATCATGCAATTCCTCAATTTAGGAGAAGCAATAGCAGTTGGACCACTAAAGCCAGAGAAGCTCTTCAGGATACTTGACATGCATGAGGGATTAGCAGCTCTTCTCACCGACATCGAATCACTCTTTCCAAATGAGTCAGGCTCTTTCATTGTAAATGAATGCAATGAGATTTTGTCAAGGCTGGGTGAATATGTGAGAGGAACCTTCTCCGCAGTCAAGAATGCGATTCTAAGAAACACATCAACAACAGGTTTTGCAGGAGGTGGAGTTCATCCTCTCACAAAGTATGCCATGAACTACATAAAAGCACTTGCAGATTACCGTGTAACAATGAATGCGCTCTTTGATGAACAGATTCCTCTCTCTCTCGCCTAAACGCTTCAGCTCCCTGACCTCACGAACAAGTAAAATTCACTCAGAGAAAAAGAAACAGAGCGTTTCTTCTCATGCCGATCTGTTTCCCCGCGGCTTCGCCCTTTGACCTTCTGTTAAGTTTTCCATTCGTCAGATCTGATTAAGAAGAGGAAGCTAGAGTGGAATTTTATTCGGAGTAAGATTTACCTAAGTCCTCTTCCAATTACCAAATAGATTCTTAGATGAAGAATTGAGCGGAGGGAAAGAGAAGTTTTTGTTTTGGTGAATCTTATAATGATAATATTCAAGCTCTCCGACAACAGCCACACCTCCGCCGGGCGACACCTCAAACTTCAAGCTCTCCGCCACCCTTGCCGCCGCCCCGACAACCGCCACACCGCCAGCACTTCCTCCACCAGTTCCAGCGCCGGAAATGCCGCCGCCGGCATTGCCTCCAGCTCCAACAAAGCAAGCGCCTGCACCAGCACCTCTGCTTCCGCCGGTGTTGGCGCCGGCTCTGGCGCCAAAGGGAGGAAAAAAACATAAGAAGAAAAGGCATAGGAAGAAGAAGGGACCGGCGCCGGCGGCACCGCTGCAATCTTCCTCGTCGGACGAGGATATCACGGCGCCAGCGCCGCAACCAGCTGACGTATATCATTACCTTCTCTCTAATTAATCAAAATTAGTCTTTAATTAAAGTTTATAGTATACTAATTACAAATTAAAATTGCCAATTTTTTTAATAAGAATATTTGAGCTAATTTTTTTATAAATGACACTAAAATTATTTTATTTGGCTGATTTTCTTGATTGCAGAATGGAAGTATAGCTATACAAGGAAGATGCGCAAGAACAATGATGGCCATTGTTGTGCTCTTTGCAGTTGTCAGTTGAAGTGTATTATTTCTACAATTTTTTTCTTATTTCATTTATATTGGAAAATTTATTTCATTTGATGATTTTCTTACTGCTTCTTAAAACTATTTTTTAGTACAAAAATTATGATAAAGCCGTCCTAATTGAGTAGATGAGGTGATTCTCCTTGCTAGAAGAATGTGAAGAGCATTAATTAGACATTTCATTTGTAATTTTTGGAGTGATCAATTTGTAACATCTTTGCTTTAAACACTTCATATCTCAGTTCTTACTTAGCCTTTGGCATTTTCACACCTCCATGATCTTCAATCTAATATTTTTCATAAAGTTACAACAACACCATACCATAGATTTCGAATGAAAAAATAGCTTAGCAGACCCTTCAAGTGTTTAAATTAAGCTTTGGCTCTGAAGTAAGTCACGGCATCAGCATAACGAAAATGAAGAAGCTAAGCATGCTCTTGCTTCCCATTCCTCTTATTACCTTCTTCAAGAGCAAAATTGCATCCTGATACGGCGTCTTGGATGGAAAGAAATATCCATTCCTTTCCAACAACATCAATGAAACCAGCTGCCATCAGCTTCTCCACCACTTGCCCCCTTGGATTTGTTATTGCCATCTGTACGTGTAATATAATAGATTTGTTTCTTCTTTTTTCACAGGTTCTCTCAATTAAATTTGGAAATTAGACTTGCCTGGATCATCTTCTTGCCAAGCATCCTATGGACTTCAAATAGCATTCCGATGCCGGTGTTGTCAATGGCAGCAACGCCTGCAATCATAATGCTTAATGGCCAATATTTATGCGAATACATAAAAGAAAAAAATTACTACATAAAAAGTATGCAAAACTTTTTTTTTAGATTCAGGCTATGTTTGGGATAGCTTTCTTAATGCAGTCTAAAATAGTTTTTTAATTAGAAATTTTCTTGAATTAGAAATTTTTATATTAGAAAGTAGTTTTAGAAAGAAATAAAAAAGTTGTACCTAACAAAGTCTCAATTGATGGCTATTTCTGAAAACTATCGTTGCATATTTTACTATAATTAATTGTTAATAATTACAATCATATATCATTAATGAATCATAAATATTAGATATCTTTAAGAGGCTATCTACCTCCAAATCGGAAGGAGGAATTATTACATGCAGTCTCTGGACGGGAAGAACCGTCCATATTTGTTACGTATTTACTGAGTATTTGTTGCATATTTATAAATACTCACTAAATACTAAGTAAATACTCAATTGTGAGTTTTACTAAGTATTTATTTAGTATTTTGTAAGTATTCAGTGAGTATTGCTAATTTACTATATATTTCTTGAATATTTGTTAAATATTCCGGACTCTGCATAGAATAATTTCTCCCCAAGAGGGGGCTCCCAGCTCATTCCAATTTGTCCGCAATTAAATCCACAAAGAATATTTTCTTCGGAAGTTAAAAATTAAACTCCAAAACTTACATCTAGCTCAGAATCAAATAAATTAAATAGCATTAGTAGACACTTTGAGTATAATTTCTTCTCTAAAAGGAAAAAAGTGACTAACCACCCATATCAAATATAATGTAATGAAGATCCTGGCCTTTCTCCTTCGTACAGTTTTCTTCATCTTCAACCCATCTCGTAATCCTTATATCAGAATATGTTTATATAATTTTTTTTCAAAAACATTAAAGAATATTAGTGATAATAATAAAGGAAAAAACCTCTTATTCTCTTTTACCTTTCTCTTAGATAGCTGGCATTGACGAAATAGATGGGCGAGCCCAATTGCAGGATAAGGAAACCTGGAAAGGTGGTTGAATCAGGGTAGTTCTTCATGTCCAGGTAGAGCTCGGTTCCTGCCACATTTCCAAGCCTGCAAGTAGTTGGTCTGGCCATATGTAACATCGCTCTTATTATAGACAAACCCACCTGTAGCAAAGAAGAAGCCAAAAATGTTGGAAAATAGGCAGAATCAAATTAAAATATAGAGCAAGTAAACCATTAAATAGAAAAACAGATCTAGGAATTTTTATGGGTTCAGGCAATTAATGGCTATGTTACAGTGATGCTACTATAGATTTTATTATAATTTGATTTTGAAGAGTTATACTAGCTCCTAGTTCCTCTAATACAAACATAAGAGAACGCGTGCATTTTTTTTTAATTTTAAAAGAGATGGAGCATCTTGAGCGGTGCAACTTAGACTTCATTTGAAACAATTTTGTTACTGTATTATGAAACGGTTTTCTAACACAAAAATTTTAAATTAAAAAAAATGTAATAATAAAGCAGAAAGAAAATTGTCCCAAATAAAATCTTGATGTCATTTTGTATTCAAACAATTGTTATGGCTCTATTGAGTGTCATTTTTGTATTTCATTTTAGAAATTCTATGATGAAGAAATTGCTAGTAAGAAAGTTTCTATCCAAATTTTTTAAAAAGAAAAAAATTGTAATACCCACATTAGGGCGTCTTCAGCCGAACTCCAAACGATTGAAAGGCGTAGTTGGTTTGCTCTATTCGAACAACAAAAAAATCGCTAATCGGTGGAGGGTGAACAGTGTGACGCCAATATTGGAGTTGCACTGTTCACCTACGCGATTTTCCAGTCTCAATCGGATTTGTCGAAGAAACGTCCATAAGAGGAGAAAGACGCTTACCTTCGAAGTTCGATTGAAGATAAATCACGACATTTTTGAGTTTCACTGTATTTTGAAGTGAAAAATGGGATTTCAAGTTGGAGAGGCCCTTAGATTTCAAAAAACCTACTTTTCAGATTAAAGTTGTATAGCATTTTTTATAGACAATATTACAACTGCAAACAAATTCTAGAGCTGAGCCAAAGATCTAAAATTTATGGGATTTCGTCTGCACTATTTTTAGATTAATATTATGTATTTAGAGTTTATATTATTCTAACCTCAAAATAAATTTAATAATAATTTTTAAAATTATCCTCATACAATTTATATTAAAATATCATAAAATATTCTCGATCAGAAGTCCAAACGTGGAAGGTAGACTTACTGATAAGAGAAGGCCGACTTCAATGTTGGCAAAAACAACGCCGAGAACAGCAGATATGCAGACGCAGAAATCGAATTTGTCGACCTTGAAAAGATGGCGAATCTCATGGAGTTCAATGAGGCCGAGCATGGCGACGACGATGATGGCCGATAGAGCCACCAGCGGCGTGTACTTGAAGAGAGGAGCCAGGAAGAGAAGTACGAGCATCATACATAACGCCATTATCACATTCGACATGGGCGTCCTACATCCAGCATGGTAGTTCACTGCAGATTTTGAGAAGGGACCTGCTCCATCCAAAATACAAATTAATTAACCACTTCATTAATAGGAGAATGTAGGCAAATTTACCCATTTCAATGCAAATTAGGGGTGTCAATATTAATAGGGGTAACATTGTAATTTGTAAACAATTTATATAATAGTTCTAAGTGTTTTGTATACATTATCTTGCAAAATATCATGTATTAAGTACAAATTAATTTTCCAAAAATCAATTCTCCTTCATGATTCTAATAGAGTACGGGTTTAATCGTGTTGACTTGAATCCGAACTGGGTCAAGTTCGGGTTAGAAAAAGTGACTCGAAACCTAAATCGGGTCAGGGCAAAATTTGTCGGGTCAAAGTCGGGTTTGACCCAAACACGACCCGTTGACATGAATTGACACCCATAATGCAAATTCATTACTAATTTTGATAAAAAAAAAAATTTAACCATAATTAAAAAGTTAAATTTTTTAAAAATTGGATTAAGAGGCCGGTTAAATTTTGAACATGATCAGTCCTAATCAACAACAACAACAACATCAAGCATTTATCTCTTTACGTGGGGTCGGCTACATAAATCTTTTTTTCTCCAATGTGTCAAGTTAAAAGTCTTTTTAGGTCTATCTCTAACTTTTTTTAAATAATTCAAATCTAATACGTCTATTTTCCTAACCGGGTCATCAAAAGCCCGCCGTTTTATCTCTCTAATCTTATCTTCCGCTGGAGTTCTAATAAAATAAATAAAACAATTTGGAGATTCATTTTGATCAGAAATTTGATAAAATAATCCTATTTATTATTATTTTATTTTATTTATGAGCTTCAATTATCAATAGATCTATGAAGTAGCTCGATCGGAAGAACAATACCAGTGGTGACATAGCAAGAAGTGAAGGAACCGACGATGTTCATTAAACCAAATGCAATCATCTCTTTATTTCCATCCGTCTGTTCGTTCTTCAACAAACCAAAGCTCCGGCCGACGGCAATTCCTTCCTGAAACAGAAAAAAAAAACGAATTAAAACATAATTATAATTCGTTTCAGGAGGAAGAATTTACAGCTACAGATATATTTTTATTATAAATAAGAGAAGTAGAAATAATATATAGTTACTGCTAGAGCTGTGAATCCTGCGACCAGACCGGCTTGCAAAGCAGCTGAAAGGTATGGAGATTTGAATTGCAGCTGTGATAATGAAATTGGATTGAGCCCCTTCTTCAGCTCACCCACCTATATATCACAAAACAATTATTTATTATATATATAGGAGAAAATTTTTTATATAAATATTATTTTTCTGGAAGCGCAGAATTCTTCTATGCAGAAAAAGAAAATGAATCAAATCAACGAAAGCGCTAATCAATTTAAAACTGCAATTAGAAGAGAAAATATAAATAAAAAAGCTTACTATAGGGATTCCATGGTCCTTCCCCTTAACCACAAAGGCGAGAACTCCTCCCATAATTATCACAAGCAGTGGAGAAATAGCGTTCACCCAAAACAGCCTTGGAATCTTTTCTTTCTGCAACAATATTTGATCAGTTTTATTAAAAAAAAAAAAAACGGAGTGAAAAAGCGAAAAAGAAAATTACAAAAAGGCACATCCCATACCAGACGTCGAGTTGCAACTAAAATGATGATGAAGCACAAGCCCAAAATTGCACTCTGCCATTTCCACTGCATTTAAAAAAAAAAATCCTATTAAGTTCAATTCCAGTTGCCATCTCCAACGGGGCAAATTATTACGTCCGGTCATCAGACGTCCTGACATCCAATTCAGACGCCCCACATCACCCAAATACATTGGGATCCGATGTATTTTGGTGACGTGGCGCGTCTGGATTGGTGTCCGGACGAATCTGGACACCAGACGTAATAATTTGCCCTCCAACGGACAGGGAGGATCCACCTTAAGCTCGGGGCGGCAATTGTCCCCCCCCCCTAAAAATAAAAAAATCTTTATTACATAATATTTTAGATAATTTATCTCTCTCAATTTATTTTTTTAATCTTTATTACAATGATTTTTAGGCAATTGTCCTCCCTAAAAGTTTTAAAATATTATAATCTTTAGGCAATTGCCCCCCACATAATTAAACATATTGTGTAAAAGTGATATTATTAGGGAACGAAGAACCAAATATAAAAAGAAATAGTAAATAAAATCCAAATATATCCTTACAAACATAATAGGATTGAAACCCGCTGGGGGGCGCTACCCTCGTCATATATGTGAAGCATACAATGATCAATGATATTAACAAAAAGGGGTCGAGCTAAATTATACACTTTTACTCAAAAAGTTGCCCCCTTTGAAATTTAAGGCTGGTTCCGCCCTTATCAGTCGAACTGCAAACAAGGATTTGCCATCCGCGAGTTTCTTAACCCGAACCCTAAAATGCGCAGCATTCATGCACGCTATTGTGAACAGTGCGACGTCAATATTAACATCACATTGTTCACAAATACGCTTTAATTTTGAGAAAAAATATTGTAAAATGATTGAATTTTAAATTATGTTATTAAAATGTTGAATTATTATTTTTTTATATAAAAAGTAGTATTTTAAATTTTGATCCCAAATATATTATGTTATTAATTTTATAAATTTAACATATATTTATGTAATTAATTTATTTAAATTAGGCTTTTTATTTTAAATTTTATTATTTTAATTTTAATTTTTTTTGTTAATTTCAGTCGTACCTCGTGCTGGAACTGTTGCGTCCAGGAGTATTCACGTTGGTAGAGAAATATCATATTTAATGTCTTAGCATTGTACGAAAATCCGGCACGCAATCAGATAAGGAGAGAGGGTAATTAATTTATTTAAATTAGGCTTTTTATTTTAAATTTTATTATTTTAATTTTAATTTTTTTTGTTAATTTCAGTCGTACCTCGTGCTGGAACTGTTGCGTCCAGGAGTATTCACGTTGGTAGAGAAATATCATATTTAATGTCTTAGCATTGTACGAAAATCCGGCACGCAATCAGATAAGGAGAGAGGGTCTAGAATTTATGAGACACCAAGATTTTTACGTGGAAAACCCCTGAAAAAGGGGGAAAAACCACGGGCCTAGCCCAGTTTGAATGAATCCACTAGTATTGCAGTCGATTACAAATGAGGCCCTTCCTTGGGAGTGATGTGAATACAAAGAATCAATATTGGCATGTTCGTTTGGTCGAGAGGACCGTAGTTAGCAGGAGACGGAGGTCGGAAGGCTTGTAGTCGGTGGGCGACATAAGTTAGGAGGACCGTAGTCGGCTGGCGACGGAGGTCGGAAGGCTTGTAGTCGGTGGGAGACATAAGTTAGGAGGACCGTAGTCGGCTGGCGACGGAGGTCGGAAGGACTGTAGTCGGCGGGCGACGTAAGTCAGGAGGACCATAGTCGATTGGAAGCAGAGGTCGGAAGGACTGTAGTCTGACAACGACGATCAGAAGGACAACGTCAGGTAAAAGTCCAACAATGGAAAGAAATCCATCTTCGCGTAGACATCCAGCGAAGTAGACTCGCTGAAATCAGAGTTCATATGCTCTCAAATTTAATTTTTGAAGTTTCTGAACTGATTTTTCCTCGAGATTCATGCCCAATCAAGATAATTTCAAGATGACGTATCAGGAACATTTTAAAATTTATAATTTCACACATACCTCATGCCGATTCTGAAAGACAGCTTCGACAACTGACACCACATCCGTCTTGCTGGTAAAATGCTGAAGCCCAAGCAAACCTTTCAACTGCTGCAATATGATAATCATGGCCGCACCTGCCATATAACCTGTGATAGCAGATCTACAAATAGTGCACAGTCAGAATTTTTTTTTTAAAGGGGGTTGGTGGGCAAGTCAAATTCGTGCGCAATTCTTCTTGAGCGACAACGCCTCTTAAGTGAAGCCCAATTAAGTGAAGGCTAGAAGATTTATCATGCCGTCAAGCATCTTTCGGGAGTGACAACGGGTGGATACCCCGCTCCCAAAAGAAAGAAATTTTTTTTGTGGTGTGGGAGAAAAAGCTTCGCTCAACCAGCGAGCTGTTGAGCGAAGCTACACTCATAATCTCATCTAAATTATATATATAATATTTAAAAATATCGTTAATATTTTTAATAGATATTTATAACTCAAAATTCTATGATTTATAAAGAGATATAAATAAATATTTTTATAAAAATTAAATTTATGCGAATAAAAATAATAAGTCTATAAAAACATGTGTCTTTTATATGTATACTGAAAATTCGGTCTTACCTGGAGAGAAAATCCACCAGTATTCCGAGCCTGTAGATATGTAAAACATAATCAAAACAATTATGTATGTAAATCTCCCAATTAAAAATCGCTAAAAATAGAAACCAATGGCCGGATCATCACCGGAAGATGCCCAGCGCTAGCTGGAACATGCCGGAAAAGAACGCCGCCGTGAAGATTGTAAATAAGTAGTTCTCCGGCTCGTTTTCCGGAGAAACGGTGTCCCTGATGCTTGATGAAAGCAATAGCGATACGGCGGCGGCCGTTCCAACGGCGAGATTGTTCGAGCTGCCGAAGACTGCGTAGACGAGCGGGGGAGTAAAACTTGAATCTGAAACCACGATCGCAAATTATTTAATGATGGATCTGAATTCTGAAACAGAGATCGCAAATAGTTACTTACAGAGTCCGATGACCGGCGGAATGTTGGCGAGCTTGGCGTAGCTGATGCCTTGGGGAATGGCGAGGCTGGTGATGGTGATACCGGCGAGGAGATCATAGGCGAAGAAGGAGGGCTTGTAATTGGGAGCCCATTGAAGGATCGGCGCGAAGTAGGAGAGAACGAACCAAGCACGACGGCGGGGTGGAAGGCCGGCGAAATGGCGGAAGGGGTCGTCGGGAAAGAAGGTTTCCTTTAGCTGTGTCTTTAGGGAAGACATGAACGAGCTGTGTTGGGATAGGTTAACAGTTGGTTTCTTCTGCTCCTCCATTATCGTTCCCATCAGTCGCAAGAACCAGAGTGAGAAACGGTAGGTGGAGTGGTGGGGAGGAAAAGAGGGTGCGATCGGAAAAGTGGTGGAGGTTGGGTTTATATAATAGGGGTGGCTCGAAGGCGGCGAGATGGTTTATATAAACGTGGCAACTGTAATCGTGCAGTTAAGGCCTGCCTGCTCCGGTCCGGTGGGCAGTTAGGATTTGCGACTAAGGGCGGACAGCATGGAAAAAAGAGTACTATTAAAGATTAGATTTTTAGAAGGGAAGAGATGACAACATAAAAATTAATATCCAGATTTTCTTGAAGGAAGATGTTGATAGAATGCTTATTACATTGTTGAAGTTGAGAGAGTCTTTCAGCAAGAATTTAAGATAAATCAAAATGTTAAAGTTGGGGGTCAAATTTGATATTGATGGCATTCATTGGCATTATTGATGATTGTAGGTAATTAAGTTAATAGGAATTAGAGTAAACATGTGACATTGGTTAGAAGTTTATAAGCTAGTTAACTCTAGTTAACAAATGACATAGACTAGAAGGACAGTAGTAGGGTGATAGTGGTTGTCAAATGATGATGATATGGCATTGTAATCATGAGCGATGGAGGCCTGAAAATTATAGTCGATGTGTGACCGAAGTTGGAGGATCAATTTTGTCGACGATGGCTAAAGGATCGTAGTAGGTGGGCAACAGGGGGTCAGAAGGATTATAGTCGGGTGACGGAGGTCAAAGTACTGTAATTCGAGCGACAAAGGTCAAAGTACTATAGCTCGGGTGACGATGGTATATCTAATTTATTACTTGACATGATATGTACTATTACATAAAACTAGAGTTACACACATAATAACTTGTTTGAAATATAGTAGTGGTAGTTGGTCAAGTTCTTGACGCCGTTGTTGGGGAGAAGAATAATTATCTTTATATTCACTTTATATTGTTTTAAGAATTGCTTGTTTAATTAATCCTATCATTATACTAGTTATCTTGCTCTTTGTTAGTATTATCATTTATTTTGCTATACTTAGTATATTTTATGCATTACAAATTATTCAATTGTGCTTTGATTTACATTTTCATCTAGTTTTTATTGTTATTGTATGCATAGTGGAGCATAATTAGAATAAGTCTTGTTTGATCATGAGATAGAGAAAATTTTGAAAATATTAAAGAGATTTAAAAAGCAACAAAAATTCTTAGAAATTATTGGCCAAGTCTAAGAAGAGAACCAACCTATACTACTTAAAAGTATGCAAATTCCATGGTAGAAGGCATTCATCAAAACATTAATATATACCATATCCAAGCTAATAATTTTGAGCTAAAGTCTTCTATCATTTAAATTGTACAAAATTTATAGTTTAGGATAACTCCTATGGAGTATCCTAATTTACATATATCTATTTTTTTTAGAAACTTATGCAATATTTAAGTATAACGGGGTTATCGACGATGTTGTTAAACTCAAATTGATTTTGTTCTCCTTAAGGGACAAAGCTAAAATGTGGTTGAATTCTTTACCCACGTGCTCAATTACCATATGAAATGATTTAGCACATAAGCTTCTAGCCAAGTATTTCTCTCCTTCTAAAACTATAAAACTTAGAAATAATATTACTTCATTCATTCAATTAGATGTAGAATCAATATATGAAGCTTGGGAGAGATTTAAAAAACAGCTTAGGAAATACCCACACCATGCCTTGTCTAATTGGCTTAAGCCCACAGTCTAAGCCTCCAAAAGTCCCAACCCCTTTTCATGTGGAAAGAAGAGACATATTTATAGATTCTGAGAGTAGCATGCTCCATAAATATGGAGAAGATTCAAGCTGAATTTAGAGTGCTCCGTTAGGACAACCCATAATGATTCCTTTGATTATAGAGCATTTGTCAAGCATTTATGTGCTTTAATGATGTCAAAATTAAGCGATCTTGGGCTCATTGGATTTTTCTCATCGAACCGCTCAAATCGACTATAAGCATGCCATATTGGATATCCATTGGTCATCCAATTAATTCTTTGGAGCTTCCAAATATGTTATAAGATGATCTTATTTGAGCTCATTTGAGCTCGGATTGGACCGAATTTAGTGTCATTCGGTTCATCTCACTTAGACATTCAATTTGACTATAACTTTGCTAAAATTAGATTTCTTATGATCTCATATTTAATTTTGGAAGTTGATAACAAAAATATACCTCAAAATTCGTACTCGATCAAAATAATTTTTGAAGAAGTATCAATTCTAGAACTCAACAATAAAATAATGCTTATGGCTTTTAGTGGCAAAGAAGAGGTGAATTTTAAACTAACAACTCAATCTTTTCTCCCCCCAAATGGTCATCGCCTTACCTAAGAATAAATTTTGGGTTGTGACTTGGGCAGGATAGTAAGTGAAAAGAAAGAGAAAGAGAAAAAGAAAATAAAAATATTTTGTCTGACCTGAGGGTGACCGAGAATTCCTTGTATTGCCACTTACCTTCGCTCATGCTTCCTTCACGTGTGGAATGCATAGTTTTGTGCATCGTGTTGTGTTATTTTTGGAAAATTATTACGTCCGGTGTTCGAACAAATCCGGACACCAATCCAGATGCGTCACATCACCCAGATGCACCTGGGGCCCAATGTATTCGAGTGACGTGGCGCGTCTGGATTGGTGTCCGAACTGTCCGGTGACCGGACGTAACAATTCGCCGTTATTTTTGAAGTAAGTTTAGGCTTCCTTTGCCATGATTTTTTAATTATTTCTTAAAGTAGTTTTTTTTTTTTTTTTAAGTTCAATTCGAGTTGAATATCTCGATGATAATTATAAATAGGCTATCATTTTTCAAAAGAATGGGGGTTTGGACCTTAACTTAAAATTAAAGAGAGCTAAGAGAGCTATGAAGTCCAGAGCTTCACCCTATGTTCAATGTTGACAATCAACACTAGTAACTGCAATCATATAACCACCAATGTGTGTGTATTGTCACCCATCAGTTGCCACTCAACTGTCGTCGCCTCATCATTATCGCCCAACTATAGTTTATTCGCCAATGTTTCCCAACTATAAAATTTCTCAACCACCATCATTTGCCTATATCTTCGTCAACTTTATTGTCCATCATCACTTAGAAGCTAGTCAATGCTTGCTGTCGTGACACCCACGCCTATTTATGTTGTTGTCAACAATGTCGACGCAGATCATCAACTCTAAGTCTGACTCTTGATATGAATATCAAGATTTATACTGGACTTATTTGTCTCTCATATCCTCTCTTCAATAAAAAATAACAAAATATCAATATTTTTAATTTATTATTATTATTTGTATTAAATGGTCATCGCCAAATAAATTTTGGGTTGTTGCTTTGGCAGGTTGGTAGCATATACTATTAATTCAAACAAACCGGTTTCAAGTAGCCCTATTCAAATTTTCCTCTCATCTTTTTCTTTTATGTCAATACAATCATATATTGAACTACAAATAGGCTAAACTTTCAATCATTCCATAATAATTTGTGGACTTGTATTTAGGCTTTCTTTAAGATAGCTTTTTAAAAAAATATTGCACTAAAAATTATTTTAAAAAGTAGTAAGAAAATTATCCCCAGTAAAGCCTTAGATTTACTTTTGGGGCGATTTTTTTATTGCTTTATAAATCAACTTTTTAGTACAAAAAATTTCAACTTAAAAAGTTTTTGTACTTAAGAGCTGCTTTAGTTGTTTGGGATGGCTTTCTTGTTTCTTTTTAAAATAAATTTTTAGTGCAAAAATTAAAAAAATTGTACTCAAAAGCTGCTTCAAGAAATAATGAGAAAGTCATCTTAAACGAAGCCTTAGTCTGCTAAGAGTTGGTGAAGCCTAGTGATTGATGAGTGAAAACTAATTAAGCTAGGGCGTTACCAAATGGTCTCCGATTTTAACGAGGTTATACTCGAATCGAACGGCTTGACGAGACGAATCCAATGAGCCCAAGATCTCCAAATTCTGACATCATCAAGGCCTCCAAATGTCCAACGAACGGTGCACGATCGAAGGGTTCAATATCGGCCGTCCGTTCAAACCACTCCCTATTCGCCCCAGATCTCACACCTATTTACGAGCCATGCCACTCCAGAAAAAATATAAATAGAGCCCTCATTCTTCACAAGGGGAACTCAAGTGAAGAGAGAGAAGAAGAAGAGAAGAAGGAGGAGAAGGAAGAAGCTCCTCCTCGACCACCGCTGGAGCTCTTCCCGCCGCCTGAAGACGTCGGAAATCTGCCGGATTTTCAGGAAGCGCCGAGAATTTGCAGAACTTTGTAAACTTGCTTGAAGAAACGAATTGTAATCTGATTGCCCCGACTTGTGGGACGAATCAGCCATTTGTAATTTGCAAAACACTAGTGGAATTTTTCAACTAGGCGAGGCCCCGTGATTTTTTCCCTTTTTGGGTTTTCCACGTAAAAATCTTGGTGTTCATTTCTCTTTTCTGTTTGTGTGCTGAATACTCATACAACGCTCGAACGCGAATTTACAAACTCTACCGCCGCGTATATTCTAGCACGCAACAATAATATTTTTAAAATTCATTGAATTTTTAAGTTCGATGATCTTCAAAGCCATTCAGAATATTACAAAAAATTCAGTCAAGGAAGAAAGCTAGGGCTATTTTTCTCACACGTGTCTGTAATTTTACTGTTACTTGATATTCGTCAATGCAATTAAACTACTAAATATTATAGCTAAACAGATCAAACAAGATGAAAACCTATTAGGCATTCACGAATGTTATCGCAATAGAAAAAAAATATGAATTTCTAATAATTTGAGTTTTATTTGGATAACTTTCGTATTATTTTATAAAGTATTTTTTTAGCACAAAATTTTTTTGGAAAACAAAAATTGTACTATGAATTATTTTAAAAAGCAGTAATTATACTTCCTCAAAAAATTATCTTGATCAAGCACGAATCTCGATGAAAAAATCAAGTTGGAAACTTCCAAAATTAAAATTGGGGCTATCCGAACACTGATTTCAGCAAACTTACAGTCAAACTGAACATCTTGGAAATACAAACCCAACGTCACCAAATTCGACTCAATCCGAACCCAAATGTGTCTAAATCAAGGACCCAAAGCACTCTTGGAAGATTCGAACCACAATTTGGAAAACCACGCGGTTTCCAAACATTACGTACTTATAGTTGAATCGAGCGGCTCAACGAGACGAATCCAACGAGCCAAAGATCACTGAATTCCAACATCATTAAGACCTTCAAATACTGACAAACGGTGCATGATCAATGGATTCAATATCGGTCATCCATCCAACCACTCCCCATTTACCCTTGATCTCTGACTTATTTATGGGTCATGCCACTCCATAAATTTATAAATAGACCCTTCATTCCACTTCAAAATGGATCCAAGAAAAAAGAGAAGAGAAGGAAGAAGAGAAGAAAGAGAAGGAAGAAGCTCCTCCTCGACCATTGACTGACTTCCGCCGGAGCACCGCTGGAGGCCCTCACCTTCGCCAGACCACTGCTGGAGGCCCTCACCTTTGCCGGACCACTGTCAGAGGCCCTCACATTTGCCAGACCACCGCTGGAGGCCCTCACTTCCGTCAGACCACCGCCGGAGGCCCTCACTTCCGCCAGACCACCACTTGAGGCCCTCACCTCCGCCGAACCGCCGCCTGACGTTGTTGCTCTACCGGACCACCACATGAGGTCCTCACCTCCGCCGGACCACCACTTGAGGCCCTCACCTCTGCAGGATCACCACTTGAGGCTCTCACCTCCACCGGACCACCGCCTGACGCTGTTACTCCGCCGAACCACCACTTGAGGCCTTCACCTCCGCCGTACCACCGCCTAACGATGTTGCTTCGCCGGACCACCACTTGAGGCCCTCACCTTCGCCGAACCGCTACTTGAGGCCCTCTGATCCACCATGACACCACATGAGGCTCGGACTTCTATTGGGCCACAACCTGATGCCCAGAGTTCTATCAGAGTAACGCCCTACTACAACAGTTTTTCTGACCCCGGTCTCCTACCGACTACGGTCCTTTTGACCTCCGTCACCTACTATGGTCCTTCCGATCTCCATCAACAAACAACGGTCTTTCTGACCCCGGTCTCCTGCCGACTACTGTCCTTCTGACCTCCGTTGCCTACTATGGTCCTTCCGACCTCCATCAACAAACCAAGGTCTTTCTGACCCCAGTTTCCTGCCGACTACAGTCCTTCTGACCTCTGTTGCCTACTATGGTCCTTCAGACCTCCATCAACAGACTACGGTCTTTCGGACCTCTATCTCCTGCCGACTACGGTCCTTCCGACCTCCTTCACCAACAATGACCCTTCCAACCAAACAAACATGTCTATGTTTATTATTGTAACTCCTACCATGTTATGCGCTCTATATGATGTACATTTGTACCATCAAACCAAGGCCTTCTCCCGAAGAAGGCCCTCATTTGTAATCGATTGCAAATACTAGTGGATTCTTTCAAACTGGGCCAGGCCCCATGATTTTTCCCCTTTTTAGGGGTTTCCACGAAAAAACTTTGGTATCTCTTATGAACGCTACACCATACCACTTATCTGATTGTGTGCTGGATCTTCGTACAATGCTAAGACGTCAAACTATATCTTTATCTACCGTTGCGAATATTCCAGGACGCAACAAGTAAGAAAGCAGTCCCAAACAACATTTTCTTACTATTTTCTAATGCAA